AATTAGCTGCCACCAAATGAAGAGATATTAATTTTTTTACCTGATTCGGCCCTTATTGTGGGATATGGGTCGATTTATAAAAGTTTTATATAAATGGTACCAACATACAAGATTAAATTACCAACATATTTTAATGAAAATGTGTTAAACATAAAATATTATAATGAATACATAATAGTTCTTAACAATATATATGTTACGGTAAATGTGCACTCTCGGTGAATGTGCACATTCACCGGTAAATGTGCACATTCCCCAAAACGCTAGGTGAATGTGGCGTGTTCTCAAACAATCAAATTAAAACAATGGTGTACGTGCGTACTTGGATCGGTCTTATGAACATCTCGCGTATTTGACACATGCGCAATAAAGACTATGCGCGAAATACGTCAAGCATGTTACAAATTTTGTACCAAAATGATGTTATGGTGATAAATGATTAATAACATTCTGTTGAAGATATGTTCATTTTGATCAAGATATATAATAGTAGTTGAATAGTAAAGTAGTGAATCGTGAATAGTGATAACTGAATAGTTAATAGTAAATAGTGAATAGATATTAGCAAATAGGGAATCATTATTAGTAAATAGTGAATTAAGAATAGTTAAATAGGTAATAGTTAATGGTTAAATAGTTAATAGTTATTAATTAAATAGTTAATAGTTCATAGTTAATAGTTAATAAATAAATGATTAATTGGTCAATAGTAATAAATAATGGGTATTAATATGCATATGACTAAAATAATTAATATAAATATAAATAAATATAAATATAAATATAAATATATAATTAGTATTTCACCCGCACGTGCGCACGCGCGCTAGTTGAACTCACATTCGCCAAATGAGCCGGTAAATGTGCACATTCGCCGAAATATGCACATTTACCGTATACCATATATATATATATATATATATATATATATATATATATATATATAATAATAATTTTATTATAATAATAAATTGTTACTGCTTATTAATTTCTCATTTTGCTAAGTATATATTATTTTATAGAACTAGAAGAATTTTTGATATTACCTAATGGAGCAGTAGGAGTTCAAGATGGTGTTTGGACTGTTGAGAGAACAGCATTTTTAATAGAATGTTTTAAAAAATATAAGCCAAATGTTGGTTCATTAGAAATGAGAACAGTGAAGGCTATGTGGATTGTCATAAAAAATGACATGAATATTAAATTTGGCATTACATTTACTGAAGGCAATATTGAAAATCGTTGGAGAATACTTCAACGAAATTATAAAAAATATGTTGACAGTCAAGCTACTGATACGAATAATGATGTAAATATATAAAATAATTTTATAAATATTAACAAATATGTCTAATAGGACAAGGAAATTTCAATTTCCAGTATGCAGAAGAGTTTGATGAAATATATGGCAATAGCCACTGGATAATTTTTAAACCAGAACATCTGGTGTGACCGTCGCTGTAACATTGTAAAATATTATTACATATAACGGTCAGGAAAAAGTTTGTTAATCCTGTAAACAGGGACGATCCTGCCCAGGTTCGACGGTTCATACAATTAGGTTATAAAATATGTCAATAAAATGTCGGGCCTAAAATCCAAATGAATAGTGAGTCTAGCATAAACAGGCAAAGAATAAGGAGGTGTTTTGTAAAATAGTATATAGAATAAATTTAATGTGAATCTAAGAGAAGTTTCATTTTCTAACACAATCATCGTCGGGATTTCGCATTTCGTCGATTAATAAAAATTACAGTCCACTATCGAAGCATCAACAACGACGTCATGTAAATCGCTCCATTTGGTCATCTTCGACCCAAATTTTTAAAGTTGACTTTAATCAACGTTTTGAGCCACGCATTCAAGCTTTGGACAGACCAGTTATCAAGACAAAAGCTTTTTAGTACTGACTAATAAATGTATTTAAGTAACTGAGTTTAAATTGAAAGTGATTGTGAAAGTGAAACTGTAAAAGTATTCAAAACTTTTCTTACAAATACACCTAATAATATTAAAATTGTTGTGTGCAGTGAATTAAGCATTAACAAAGTTATCGTTGTTGTAAACGCGTGTAATTTACGGTGAAATTAATGGACGCTTTTGCTGCATTTGCTCGAATCCAATACTGATTCGAACCACCGCCGTAATCCAATACTGATACGATAGCGACGCCGGAAGCGACCAGCCTACTATTTTGAGGATTTCACCAGGAACGTGAAGCACCATCCGAGTAACAGTGATCTCTCCAGTACGAGTATTTTGGATCCACTCGAAGATACCGCCACGTTTTCCGTCAAATCAATACTACACCAGATAAGCCATAATTTTATTTTATTATATAAACCTGGACATATTATTGATTGAAATTGGATCTTGCTCTAAGATTTTGGGCCAATTTCGTTAATCCTTAGGTTATTAAATCTTATGAAATATTATATTAGTCATTATAAACATCACTAATTATTGGTTTATATATTTGTTAATTTATTTACACCACAACTTATGTTATTGATGTGTTAGACCCCATTTCTAATAATATTAAATTAGAATTGTTAAATAATCAATTATAGTATAGATTTAAATTCTGATATAACCGCTGATATTGCATAACGCCTGTTATACGTAAAATTTTGTAACGGTTTGCGCTTCTCTATCAGAAAATTAAATTAAGTTATCTTGAGTTCTAAAAACAATTAAAATGGCAGAACTTAAAAAACTTTTAAGAAGGCAACAAAGCTTCAAATCATCTTGAAAGGTTAAATAATGATAATTGGGATCAACATTCTTCAGAAATGATAAAAGGTATTAAAAGCATGTTTGACAATAGATTCGCGGAGTACGAAAAGGTTAGGGCAGCCATCCACGACTCGCTTGACGAGCAGGATGAAGATGTTTTAATAGATAATCTTTACCTAAAGCTAACCATTAAATTCACGCATCACATAGACAATTCAAATAGTACACAAAATAATAGTAAAAATTGTGTTAATTCAGCCATAAAATTACCGAATATTCAAATTCCAACTTTTGATGGTAAATATAATAAGTGGATTAGTTTTAGAGACTTATTTACATCCACAATCCACAATAATATTACTTTATCGGATGTCAAAAAACTGTACTATTTGAAATGTCATGTGTCGGGAGAAGCTGCCACTATAATTAATAATATAGCCCTCACTGACAATAATTACTCTGAGGCATGGGCTTTGTTATCTGCAAAATTTGAAAACACGTGTATAATTGCCTATTCACATTTACAAAAAATTATGGATATTCCAACGTGTTCGAAAGGTACATACGAAATACTAAAATCTTTCTTGAATATTGCACAGCAAAATCTAAATTCTCTCAAAGCGCTGGGCATAAAAGTTGAAAATTGGGACCTTTTAATGGCCTTTTTATTATTAAATAAATTAGATACAGATACCAAAATAAAATTTAATACCTTTCGATCACAAAAGGAATTGCCGACTGTATCGGAACTTTTTAAGTTTTTGGAAAATAGTTGTTTGGCTTTGGAGCTTTCTCGTAAGTTAGACATAGACCCGGACAAAACTCATTTCAAACGAAAAGCTTTGGTTTCGGTTTCAAATATTCAAGCGATAGTTTGCAAGCTCTGTACAAATGCACATCATCTTTCTACATGTAACAAATTTATTGAAAAAACAGTTTCAGAAAGGTTAGTTTTCATTCGCGAAAATAAAATGTGTTTAAAATGTTTAGGTGACGGACATACAATCCGATCATGTAAATCAAAATATAAATGTAAAATGTGTCATAAACCTCATAATTCTTTATTACATTTAGAACAGAGTCTGCAAACTAAAGCAAATAACCCGCAATCTCCCGGGCCGTCTACTGCGGTATTACCTGCATCACAAGTTTTGAATGCTAATTTAAATAACACGTGCGCTCTATTACCGACTATTTGCTTATTTGTCAAACATATTTCGGGGGAAAAAATTCGTGTACGGTGCATTCTAGATACGGGTTCAGAAATAAATATTATTACCCGAAAGTTACTGAATTCTCTAGATATAAAGACCGTTCCAAGTTCCGTTCAGCTGACTGGAGTTAATGGCATCAATATAAATGGCGATTCAATTGCACGCGTATCGATTTCAAATGAGTCTTCTAGTTTTTCAAAACAGTTATCGTTCGTCATATTAGAAAAAATTACAAACCAAGTACCTTCGAATTACATAAATCCGTCCCAGCTAAATTTACCTGTAGATGTTACGCTCTCGGACCCGCAGTTTTATATACCTGGCGATATTGATATGTTAATCGGGGTCGGTTCATTCTTTGAAATCTTAAGGGGTGAAAGCATATCGTTAGGACATAATTTGCCGGTTTTACAAAATTCAGTGTTTGGGTGGTTTGTTTGCGGATTAGCCTACCCGAACAATGGAAACTTGTCAAATTATAAAAGAACGTTTATTGTAAATAATCTTACATTAAATAAAGCAGTTTCGAGATTTTGGGAGATAGAAGAGATTAATCACGAGGAAATTCCAAACTGAGACGATAGGTTATGCGAAGAGAATTTTGTAAATAACGTAACTATAAATATAAATGGTCGATACACCGTAGCATTACCATTAAAACCAAATGCTTCAACAGCTATAGGCAAATCATTGCAACAAGCAAAGCGTAGATTTTTACATTTAGAAACTCGCCTTAACAAAAATGAGAATTTGAAACGACAATATTGCGATTTTATTAATGAATATATTAAATTAGGGCATGCTTATGAAGTTCCTAATTTTGAACAAAATATCTCACAAAATTCGTTTGCATATTACCTGCCCCACCACGCGGTTTTTAAAAATAGGTGTGACAAAATCCGAGTTGTCTTTGACGCGTCTGCGAAAACATCAACAGGCATTTCTCTGAATGACGTTCTTTATACAGGACAAAAATTACAACAGGATATTTTTACTATCTTACTGCGCTTTAGATCGTATATTTATGTAATGACCGCGGATATTGTAAAAATGTTTCGACAAATTCGCGTCAATGAAGAACATCAAAATTTGCAACGAATTTTATGGCGTGAAAATATTCATGACAAAATTAAATGTTTTAATTTATCTACAGTTACTTATGGAACTGCTTGTGCGCCATATTTGGCTATTCGTTGTCTGAATCAACTCGTATTAGATGAGGGAGAGAGCTTTCCTTTAGCTTCACGCGCTGTCCAACACGATTGCTACGTGGATGATATTATTTCGGGTGCAAATTCATTAGAAGAGGCAATAAAGTTAAAGGAGGAACTAATACAACTTTTTAATCGTGGCAATTTTCAATTGCATAAATGGACTGCTAACAACAGTAGCATTATTGATTCCGTTCCCTTACAAAATCTCGAAACGAATGCGTTCAATTTAACCGATAATAAAAATATAATTAAGGCTTTGGGTTTACTGTGGGACCCCAAGAAAGATGTATTTCAAATCTCTTCAAATGCTTCAATTCCATCATCACAAAGAACAAAGCGCGCCATTTTATCATCTATTGCCAAAATTTTCGACCCTCTTGGCCTTATTTCGCCTTGTGTAGTTTTAGCTAAATTAATAATGCAAGATATATGGCAGCTAAAAACCGATTGGGATGAAGTTGTTGATAGCACTATTATGAACCGTTGGCTCGATTTTGAAAATAATATAATACACATACAAAATATAATCATTCCGCGTCCGTTATTTGAATTAGACAAAATTGATCGGATTGAAATTCGTGGTTTTTGCGATGCCTCCATGAAAGCTTACGGAGCTTGTTTATACATTAAAACTAATTATCATAATAGGAAGCCTACAGTACGCTTATTATGCTCAAAATCTAGAGTGGCTCCGCTTAAATCGATAACCTTACCTCGGCTTGAACTCTGCGCTGCACTATTGTTAACAAGATTATACAAAAATACCGTTAAGTCTTTGAATTTCAAAGTAGATAATAATTATTTTTGGAGTAATTCAAGTATTACCTTGTGTTGGATCATCACGCGGCCAGAAAAATTAAAACAGTTTGTAGGAAACAGAGTAGCGGAAATACAAACTCTTAATAATATAATATGGCGACATGTACCGACAACGGACAATCCGGCCGATTTCATTTCGCGCGGTATTTACGGTCATAAGTTAATAAACATGGACTTGTGGTGGTATGGTCTAGCATGGCTTAAATTTGAAACTGACTCCTGGCCGTCAATTTTTAAAGTAACGGATAATATCAATTTTGAAGTTCCCGAACAAACAATTCAAAGAAAAATAAATACTTGTGCACAGAGGATGGACGACATGTTCCTACGATTTTCTTGTTTTAATAAACTCCAACGCGTAATGGCTTATTGTATTAGGTTTATTAAAAACTGCAAGAATACGACTGTCGGACCGCTGACAGTAACCGAATTACAAGAATCATTACACCATATTGTTAAAATCGTTCAAAAACAAAATTTTGAACACATTCTCAAATATTTGAACAGCGGGTCTGCTTTTTTAGGATTAAATCTAGATCTAGAGTCTATTACGCGTTGGGGTCGAATACAAATGGCAAACATAGAATATGAACAAAAGTTTCCATTGTTATTACCAGCCGATAATCATTTAACAAATTTAATTTTAAAACGAGAACATGTCTGTTTTTTGCATGTCGGTCCACAGACCGTGTTTTGGCCAATCAAAGGTAGAATCGCAATAAAACGTATAATCAAAAATTGTGTGCGCTGCTTTCGTTTTAATTCTACTAGTTCTCAGCAGATAATGGGAAATCTAACAATTGAACGAGTAACCATAGCTCGTCCTTTTTTAAATGCCGGAGTAGACTATGCAGGCCCAATCAATTTGCGTACAAGTCGGCTACGAAAAGCACCGCAAATGAAGGGCTACATAGCACTTTTTATTTGTTTTAGTACAAAAGCCATACATCTGGAACTAGTTACCAGTTTGACAACCGACGCATTTATAGCTGCTTTGAAACGTTTTATCTCGCGCAGAGGCAAATGCAGTAAAAATTTTTCTGACACTGGTACAAATTTCATAGGCGCTAGGCACGAGTTACATAAACTGTATAATTTGTTTAAAAATGAGCATAGCAGAAACGAGGTGATTAACGAGGCTGCCGTAGAGGGCATTGAGTGGAAATTTAATCCACCCAACGCACCACACTTTGGTGGTTTGTGGGAAAGCGCGGTAAAATTAATTAAGCATCATTTGCGAAAAGTAGTGGGAGAAACTTGTCTAACTTACGAAGAATTTTCCACGGTTTTAACCCAAATAGAAGCAATAGTTAATTCAAGGCCAATTACAAGTGTTTTTGATGATAGTAATGAACCCACGTTTTTAAGTCCCGGACATTTTTTGATAGGTGAAGCACTTACCGCATTTCCGGAACCCAGCTTAATCGACGTGACGTTAAGTAGATTATCACTTTGGCAACAACTTAATCAATTAAAAGATAAATTTTGGAAACGTTGGTCCATAGAGTATCTCGGTCAGCTTCAGAGTCGTTACAAATGGAAAACTTCCTCAAAAAATTTCAAAATAGACGACATAGTTCTTTTAAAGGAAGATAATTTACCTCCATTAAGCTGGTTACCGGGTCGCGTTATAGGCATTGCAATCCGCAAAGTTAAAAATGTGAGAGTAGCTACAGTAAAAGCAAAAAATGGCATATTTATAAGGCCAATTGTTAAATTGTGCCCCTTACCGGTAGGAGATGTAGAATAGATTTTTTTTTCTCATAAAATAAATATATTACTGTACTTTCATTATTTACACAGTACAATTATTTTAAAATTAGTATTAAGAATTATGTTTTACTATGAAATTCATATTGGTATTTGTCAATAATCCTTTTTTATATAAACTGTTGTGATCAATACATTCACATAATTTCACAATTACTTTGTAATTTTAATTAGTACATAATGCCATTGTACAATTACATACTTATATACATACTGATCTTAATTATAAGTGAATAATTAAGGCGGCGGAGAATGGATAATTTTTAAACCAGAACATCTGGTGTGACCGTCGCTATAACATTGTGAAATATTATTACATATAACGGTCAGGAAAAAGTTTGTTAATCCCGTAAACAGGGACGATCCTGCCCAGGTTCGACGGTTCATACAATTAGGTTATAAAATATGTCAATAAAATGTATTACGTCGGGCCTGAAATTCAAATGAATAGTGAGTCTAGCATAAACAGGCAAAGAATATGGAGGTGTTTTGTAAAATAGTATATAGAATAAATTTAATGTGAATCTAAGAGAAGTTTTATTTTCTAACACAATCATCGTGGGGATTTCGCATTTCGTCGATTAATAAAAATTACAGTCCACTATCGAAGCATCAACAACGACGTCATGTAAATCGCACCAGCCACAATATGAAAATAATCTGCATACTGGAAAACAATGCAGAAGCGCGGGATGATAGTGCATATGAATTTCGAGAACATATTGCAACTTCAAGAAGAAGGCAGCGCCGTTGAAGGCAAACAATATTAGAGAAAATCCGAAAAGATAAATTGAAGTTCCAAGAACCAATTATACAAATTGAAGAAGCAAAATTGAAAATTCTAAAACAAAAGTATGGAATGCTTTAAAATAAAATAATACTAATAAATTTTCATTAAATATAATAAATAAATCATTATACAATATAAATGCCTGATTTTAATTTATTAATTCAATATATTTATAAAATATTTGTAGTAATTTTTTTAAACCAATAATAATTTCAGAGATTGTACCTGAAACTATTTATAATGATATTCGAGTGTCGGAGGCTCAAGTAGGTGATTATATCAGAGAATGGCTTCGTCATGCAAAGAGCAGTTACACTAGGAATAAAGAGAAGGACTGAAGACAGGTTTTTAAATTTAGTTAGGTTTATTGAATTATTTAGTTAGGTTTTTATTGTATTATTTTGTTAGGTTAGTTTTATTGTATACTTGTAATTGTAAGTTCCTCAACAGATTTGCCAAGTTTTATATAATCAAACTTTTTTCTATGTATGTGCACCCAAGTGCTGCCCTGCAATTAGTACGGCCCTGCCGTACCTCGTGATTGCCCTGCGTGATGCGCACGCATCAAGATGGCTGCCTCCGTCCTGTATAAAAGAAACGGCCATCGAAGCAAAAGGTCTCTTCAACCATCAGCGGCCAACAAGGACCAATCAATACACAAATTATATTAAATAATAATAAATAGTATTGGACAAAATCAATCTGTTAATAGATAATACTCGGTGACGTGATATAATAGTTGGTGACGTGATAAAAGGTATATTCATCTACCTGACGTGAGTAAAACAGAACAATAGTAAATTAACTTAAGTGTATTATTCAAGATTCAACAACATTTTTTATTTTTTTTATAAGAAGTGTCATTTTTCTTTTTTTTTTTGAACATTCATTGACATTTTATAGTGAATATTTAATTTGTTTTTCTCAATTATTTGTGAAATAAGTGAAGAAGATAAGACAGTGAAATCAGAAAATCCAAACGACGCAAATGCAGGCGTATCACATGGAATTGCGAGGCCTATACCAGCATTTTGGTATGAAAAACCTCAATTATGGTTCGCGATGATCGAGGCTCATTTTAATCGAACACGAATAAAAACAGAAGATGTCAAATATGAATTTATATTATCATATTTAGATGACAAATTAGCCTGTGAAGTGGAAGATATAATATTAAATCCACCGAAAGTCGAACACTATACTAAGTTAAAGAAAGAAATAATACAACGTTTATCACAGTCACAGGACCAAAAGATTCGAAGGTTGCTACAGCAAGAGGAACTGGGTGATCGAAAACCGTCGCAATTTTTACGACATCTAACATCACTGGACGGTTCACTACTAGATGAAAATATTTTAAGAACCTTGTGGCCTCAAAGATTACCTACGCATACACAACAAATATTACAGGCCCATCCGACCATGAAAATTGAAGACCTAGCCGCCATAGCAGATAGCATCGGTGAGGTTAACATCGCGCCAACAGTAGCCGCCACAAGCCTTACCGACAGTACAACGTCTGAATTATTAAAACGAGTAGAAGACCGGAGAAGAAAGACGAACAGCACACTTTGGACGCTCGGCTACGATCATCCCTACAATACACATAGCCTCTTTAAGCGCCAGGTAGCTGAGTCTGCGCGAAAATGAGGGACATCCAGTTTCAGAAGAATATCGATGGAAGGTACAGCAGCTACACTCTAAGAACGGTGATATCTTCAAGGAAGCAAAAGGCCCGCGTAACCACGCCGAGCATTATATCTTCACAGGCAATCATGCGCCCATCGCAGTCCCACCGTACCGGTTATCACCTGCCAAACGCATGGCACTAAAAACGGAACTCGACGAAATGATCAGACAGGATATCGTCGAGGTGTGCGATTTACCATGGACAGCTGCGGTGGTAATGGTGTCAAAGAAGGATGGCGGTACTAGAGTATGCGTAAACTACCGTAAACTCAACGCCATTACGACAGCAGACAGCTATCCTCTACCACGAATCGACGATCTGATACATCTAACCAACCGAGCCAAGGTCATTTCGACCATAGACGCCAACGCCTTATGGATTGTCTCCGTTCCAGCCTACCCGACGTACCAATTCTAAGCTACCTGGACGACCTAATAGTATTATCAGAAGACTGGATTCAATACCTTCATCATCTAGACTACTTGTTCGCGAAAATTCAGGCACCGCGAATGAACCGCGAGAAATGTCGGTTCTTCTGCACCGAAGTAAAGTACCTAGGACATATAGTGACGCCCGAAGGAATTCAGACTGATCCAGAGAAAGTAGCGGCCATTGTAGGAATGAAAACCCTCAGGAACGTTAAAAAATTACTGACATTTCTACAAACCTGCTCGTGGTATAGGCGATTCGTACCTGATTTTGCAAAGGTACCCAACCCCTGAGCCAGCTAACAAAGAAAAATAACGAGTGGAAATGGGGAGAGGACCAGGACAAAGCTTTCCGGCATGCCAAGAAAGCACTAATGACGAGCCCTATCCTGAGGCAGGCAGACGAGATGAAACTGTACACCCTGCAAACCAACGCAAGCAGCTACGCTCTAGTGGTAGTATTAACGCAAGGAGAAGGCGCCGACTATTGACTCCGGCTGAAAGGAATTATAGCATCACGGAACGCGAAGCACTGGCGGTGGTATGGGTCGTTAACAAATCCCGTGGATACATCGAAGGGGCCACGATAACGGTAGCCACAGATCACAGGCATCTAAAATGGTTAATAACCCTACAATCGCCCAGTGGTCGACAGGCGGGATGGGCATTACTGCTGCAGCGGTTCAACCTACAAATTTATTACACCCCGGAAAGGATTAACGTGGTAGCAGACACGCTATCACGGCCTAACATTGAAGCTAAAGAAGTTACATCCGCACGGATTGGATTGGTTTCAATCAATTACCCTAGCAGAAGTGCGACTGAAACAAGACAGGGTCAATTTGAGGACAATAAATTACAAGAGATAATCAATGCGTTTGAAACGACTGACATATATTTTACTTAGTATAATAAATATTTTACACAATTATACTTATCTTAATTTATCCTTAATATTAACCTTTTATTTTTAGAGTATCTTCTTTGTACCATCTCATATTGTTACAAAAATGGATGTTTTGTCAAGCACGATGACCGACAATTTTTCTGGTGTTTCTAATTGTGCTTTAGAATACAGTAATATCGAAAACTCATCAATTAGTGTTACAGACAAAATCCCGAAGGAAGATAAGCCATTTTCCTCAGATTTGAGGATTTATTCCATACTGTAGATGGTACAGTAAAAAAAAATATTATAAAGAAGTATTTTTAAAGTGTTTTAGGAAAGCTGCTATATATCCTTGCGATTTGAACTTTCGCTATGTACGTGTAAATTAAAAAAAGTGCCCATAGTAGACTAAGAGGAAAAGATAAAGATGATTAAAAAAAACTTGCATCAAAAACATCAAAAACCAGCAGCATGTCTCGAGCAGTTCAAGGATAAGATAACAGAATTTCCTGAATCAAAAATTTCGTTGAAGTATACAATCTACCTTCACAAGTTTGCATGCGTCAAGCAAAGTATGAAGAAAATAAGGAAAATGACTTCCATGCCGACGACAATGTGAATCTAGTTCTTATGATGTTACGGGAATTGGCAATACCACCGAAAAACCAAATTTTATCTGGCCTTCTATAGATAATTCCGTCATGAAGCATGCGATGTATTAAAAGGATATTTGCAAAATAATGCAAATAGAGTACTGTATTTTGATGCGACAGGTAGTTTAGTAAGAAAACCTCACTCCTTTTGTAAGAGAATATTTTTATAATCAGGTGTAATGACAATGCCCACAAATACAGCTCGTTTTAGATATCCATTGATAATTTTTTTTTTATTAAGTGAACATGTTAGAGCGATAATGTTACAGATTGCATGGATGAATTCGGCGGTCATATGCCTTTTAAACGTATGGTTTGGGATCACAGCTATGCAAGCAGCATTCATGCAATAATCCAAGGTTGCAAAATACAAATTTAATTAATTATAATAATAAGTGATATATATTTTTGAATGATAATAGTTAGTTACGGGATATATCCCGTACGCATACAACTATATACGACTGCATACGACTGCATGCAAGTCGTCACAAGAACGTACCAACGAATCAATTGTTACCTATATAAGA